GCCCCTCGGCTGGATCCTCGCGGACGGCTGTGAAGCTGCATCACCCAGGCGGCCTGCAGAAGGAGGAAACGAGCCACGGGAGGAAGGAACACCCCCACCTTCCAGGCCAAGCGACGCTCCTCACGAGTTCCACGGCACGGCGCCGGGCATCACTGGTGGCAAGGCGCAAGAAAAATCTCCCCCAGGCCCTCCCATCAACCCGTGAAACCTGCAGCAACTGGCACCTGGAGGCGGCGAGCGCAGAGCGCAGGATCCGTTCGGGACAATGAATGACCGTTCGGCCCCGTCACTCTGATTATTACTACCTATACGACCACCCTTCGGGTAATAAGGAGGTTCGGGGGGGGGGGAATCAACGTCTCACTCGATCGGTCTCACTATCGATCTCACTATCGATCTCACTATCGGTCTTGCAATCGATCTCACATTCGGTCTCACTATCGATCTCGCTATCGATATCACAATCGATTTCACAATCAACGACATCATCATCATGAACATCATCGTCATCAACGTCATCAACATCATCATCATCATCATCAACATCATCATCATCATCATCATCATCATCAGGACACCGTCATCAACATCATCTCATCACCATCATCATCATCGGGACACCATCATCGTCACCATCATCATCAACATCATCATCATCGGGACACCATCATCATCATCATCATCATCATCATCATCATCATCATCATCATCATCATCATCATCATCGGAACACCACCATCATCATCATCATCATCATCATCATCATCAGCTCATCAACATCATCATGGACACCATCATCAACGTCATCATCATCATCATCATCATCATCATCATCATCATCATCATCATCGTCATCATCATCATCATCGTCGTCGGGACACCATCATCATCATCAACATCATCATCGGGAAACCATCATCACCCATCATCACCATCTCAGCATCACCAACATCCTCATCATCAACATCAGCATCAGCATCACCATCGTCGGGCCACCACCATCAAAATCATCATCATAACCTCACCATATTCCTCATCATCAGCATTGTCATCGGGACACCATCATCGACATCATTATTATCATCAGCATCATCATCATGATCGGGACACCATCATCATCACCATCAACATCAACAGCATCATCATCAACCTCATCATCATCATCATCATCATCATCATCATCACCATCATCCTCGAGACACCATCATCATCATCATCATCATCATCATCATCATCATCATCATCATCATCTTCATCATCATCATCATCTCATCATCATCAACATCAACATCATCAGGATCATCATCATCATCATCATCATCATAATCATCATCATCATCATCATCATCATCGGCACACCATCATCATCATCATCAGCAGCAGCATCATCATCATCATCATCATCATCATCATCATCATCATCATCATCATCATCATTATCATCATCATCGGGACACCATCATCATCACCACCATCACCATCATCATCATCAACAACACCGTCAACATCATCATCATCATTAACATCTTCATCATCATAATCATCAGCATCAACAACATTATCAGCATCATCATCATCATCATCATCATCATCATCATCATCATCATCATCATCATCATCATCATCGGGACATCATCATCATCACCACCATCATCATCATCATCATCATCATGGTCATCATCAACAACAACATCATCGACATCATCATCAGCAGCAGCATCAGCATCAGCATCAGCATCAGCATCAGCATCATCATCGTCACCATCATCATCATCATCAGCATCATCATCATGATCATCAACATCATCAACATCATCACATCATCATCATCATCATCATCACATCAGCCATCAGCATCATCATCATCATCATCATCATCATCATCATCATCATCATCATCATCATCATCATCATCATCATCATCATCATCATCATCATCATCATCATCATCATCATCATCATCATCGGGACACCGACGGGACGCCAGCGGGACACCGGCGGGACACCGCGCGGCACCGGCCCCTGGAAAGAAAACATTTGGTCCGGCCGCGCCTCAGCCGGAGACGGGACACCGGCGGGACACCGCGCGGCACCAGCCCCCGGAAAGGAAACATTTGTTCTGGCCGCGCCTCAGCCAGGGGAGACTTTCTTCTCGCCCGCCCACGCAGCTTCGCCTCACCCGCACGCACGGCACGCACGAACACGAAACCGAAACCGATTTCCCGGTAGGGGGGCTCTCCGTTCCACTTCGATCTCACCCCCTCACCTCCGATGATTGTTCGTCCCAAAGTATGGTTATTGTTATTAATGTTTGCTTCTTCCCGCTCGTCTTCTTAATATCCACTGTCCGGGAGGGGGGAGGGTGGGGGAGCTCGCTCAAGCTTCTCTCTGTCGGGGGGGGGCTGACGTCATAGCTGACGCCATTCAGGCCCAGCAGGGGGGAGGGGGGGGAGATTCAGGCCCAGGAGGAGGGAATCGGGGAGGGGGGAGGGCTGACGCCATGGCTAACGCCATTCAGACCCGCGATGGGGGAAGGGGGGGGGGGAGCTCGCTCAAGCTTCGCTCTGTCGGGGGGGAGGGGGCTGACGCCATAGCTGACGCCACTCAGGCCCAGGATGGGGAAGGGGGGGGGGAAGGGGTGACGCCATGGCTGACGCCATTCAGGCTCGGGAGCGAGGAGTCGAGGGGGGGGGGAGGGCTGACGCCATGGCTGACGCCATTCAGGCCCGCGAGGGGGTCGGGAAGGGGGGAGCTCCCTCACTCTGTTGGGGGGGGGGTACTGACGCCATGGATGACGCCATTCAGGCTCGGGAGAGGAGAAAGGGGGGGAGGGCCGACGCCATGGCTGACGCAATTCATGCCCGGGACGAGGGAGTCTGGGGGGGCGGGGGCTGACGCCATGGCTGACCCCATTCAGGCCCAGAAGGCGGGAGGGAACATCCCAAGAGTTTGGCTGTTCGCGCGAGATCGTCACTTTCGAGCGACTGCTCTACTTCTACACATAAGAAGTCATCCGTTGCAAGCAGAATCGGTAGCACCCCGGATCGGCGGCACTGGCCAGAGGCCACTACAATATTCATTGTCCGTTTTCTTCATCAGAGTACACTACTCTTAAAATTACGGGCACTCCTACTATTACTTTGAATCATGTTATTCTCCGTGTTATTCTTATTGATGTTATTATTTCCGGCTCGGAGGAAGGAACTCCAATGGCCCCACCGCGGGGGGCCTGCGGCGTCGCGAGGGCCCGTCGCCGCAAGGCCCACGGTTGGCGCCGATCGTGTGGGGGCCCGGGGAAGGGGGCCCATGGGCCCCCTCGCGGCCCGCGGCGTCGTGGGGGCCCGTCGCTGCGGCGCCCAAGGGTGGCGCTGGTCTTGGCTTCGCGGAGATGCGGTGCTGAAAAATAAAACATCGGCGCCTGCGGCGGGCTTCTTGTTTGAATGGTTCGAACCACTTGTTCCAACAAGTCGTCCGGGGGGCCCGCGGCGTCGTAGGGCCCGTCGCAGGGGCGCACGCGGGTGGAGGGGGCCCGTCGCCTCGGGGTCCACGGGTGGCGCTGGTCTTGGTTGCGCAGATACACAGCATCGCTGAAAATTAAAAAATCCGCGCCTGCGGCGGGCTTCTTCATTGAAGGCTCCGTTCAACTTGTTTCAATAAGCCGTCCGGGAGGGGCGCGGAGTCGTGGGGGCCCATTGGTGGCGCCGGTCTTGGCTGCGCAGAAACGCATGTTCAAAAATATAAGTCGGCGGCTGCGGCGGGCTTCTTCTTTGTTCAGTTCACAGCGCGTCGCGCCGAGACCGCAGCAACCCCTCACTCCCATCCACATTTGCGGGGGGTATGGTACGTGTGCGCTCCTCAGTACGAGCATCAGTGATCAGGGAGAATTAAGTCTGTGAGCGCGTCTGAATGAAGCGTAGTTTGAGCGAGTCTGTGCGTGTGAGAACATGGCTGTGACTGATCTGAGTGTGTCTGAGGTAAGTCTGACTGTGAATGCTCTGTGAAAATTGGCATGACCACGAGTGGGTCTGAATGGGACCAGGCCTGAGCGTGCGGGCGCTCAGAGTGATGATTACTTTGCTTGTGAGGGGTGGGAGGGCATCTATGAGTGAGCCTGGTAGTCATTATCACTATGATTGAGCATGAGTGCGTGTGAGTCGGAGTGTAGAGTGAGCCCTGACTGCAGACACGTCCACCCCCACCCCGCACCTCGCCCCCCCCAACAGAAAAGCTGCAATGCTGCCTACGAACGGGCCCGGGCAGCACCCCGTGGTGGCAGCCCTGTGGGAGGCCAAAATGCCGTGCCCGTGACATCGGGTGTGAGTAGGAGTAGATCTCCGGGTGGGTAGAAGCGAGCCTGCGTATCAGGGTGTGAGCCTGAGTATGAGTGAGTCTGTAATTACGCGAGTGGTCCGAGTATGATTGAGTCTGACAATGCCGGGAGCCCGAGAGTGAGTGGGTCTGGGTGAGTCCGAGTGTGAGAGGGTCCGCACGAGCCTCAGCATGAGTGAGCCCGTGTGCAGGTGGGTCTGAGCACGAGAGGTCTGAGCGGGAGTGAGCCTGAGTAGCGGGAGGAGGACATGGAGGGAGCAGGCGGGAAGAAAGGCGGAGGGCGGGAGGCGGAGGCGTCCGACTGACAACAAGAACCCCAAATTGAGATGGGGAGGGACCGATCGGACCCAGCGCCGCGGCGGCGGAGCAGGGCGCGCTGAGCCCGGGGCTGATTCGTTGCGCAGTGGTGGCCCGGGCTGAGGTCCTCCGTGCGGGAGGCGGCGGGGCGGAGCGCGTGGGGTGGACGCCGAGGAGGCCGGGAGGGCGTGGCGGGCGCGAGGAGGCCCGGTCGTGCGGGCGCGGGGATCCCTCCCGCTGCACCACCCCCGTCGAGGCCCCTACCCCAGTCGCAGCTGCCGACGAGGCTGGGGGGCGGTCCCCCCGCCCTCCTGGAGTCCTCTGGAGCCTTCCGCCCCCGCCCCGAAATTCCCCCCCCCTCTCTCCATCCCCGCGTCCTCGTCCGTGCCTGCGTCCGAGGAGTTGCCCTCGGCCGAAGAGACGGTGGTGGTCGAAGAGGCCATGGCGGTCGAGGAGTTGCCGTCGGAGGAAGAGACGTTAGTGGCCGACGAGCCACCCGCGGCCGAATCGGGCGGCAGTGCGTCGTAGCAGTCCCCGGTCTGCGGGCACTCGCACGTTAGCGCCTGCTGGTCGCCGTTCATCTGCTGCTCGCACGCGCAGGCGTTCGACATGCCTCAGGGAGGGGAGCGTGCACGCCGCCACCAGGTCTCCAGAGGCCCACGTTGTAGCCGGATCTTGGCGCATTCTGCATGATTGCTTCGGCTCCTGCCCAGCCGGGCCCGGAGGCCTTCATGCGCCAAGCTCTGGCCGAAGGAGGGCATGTGGAGGCCTGGCCTGGCGCGAACCTCCATCGGGAGTCCGAAAAGGTGGGGATACGGGCCAGGTGAGGCTGGCCGAGAAAATTGCCTTGGACTTGCTTCTGAAAAGCTGGCTGCCGCATTCTTGAGTATTCTGAACCACGGAATGCGCAATGCGTTATCCACCCAGACAATCACGTCGCACGCACGTTCTGGGGGCCCTCTTGGCAACTTGGGCCTCTTCTGGGAAAGTAGTGGGGTTCTGTGGGGGCTAGCTGGAAGGATCTTGGAACCCTCTTGGGGTCGTCGTGGGGCTCCCTCTGGGCTCGATGAAAGGTCTGGAAATGACTCGTGGGGCCATCTGGGACACCTGGCGCGCCGATCCCCGCGGCGTCGTCGGGGCCCGGAGACCAGCCCTACGTCAACGCGCGCGCCAGACTCCATCTCGACGGCAGAATTGCATTGTCGACGGTTCAACCGCGCTGTTGTCGATAGAAGCCCCGATCTCGACGGGCCGGGGGGAGTGCAATCCATGGTGTTGTTCCACGCACCGGGGACCTACAACAACGCCGTTGCTGTTGGTCGGGAAACCGAGACCTTGGCGGTTCGGAACAGGGCGGACGTCGAGAACGCACCCCGTGGAGCCGCCAGGGAGGTCCCAACGAGGCCCTGCGAGGTCCCCAAGGCGCTGCCCCCGTCCGCCAGCAACAACAGTCGCCCCCCCCTCGGTTGCTCAAGACAAGACTAGTTGGAACCACGCGCCCCTTCAAGGAGGTCCTAGGAAGTTGCGCATCCACCCCTACAATACGATTGACCTTGATACACTTAATATACTGCTGTGTGTGATGCGTGCTACACCTCTGCTGCCGTCTGACCGCTACTGTTGGGGTAGCGCTTGATTTCGCCCGTGCCAGAATGCAACACATTACCTACGCAATTCGAAGCTCAACTTTTGCGACCTCCCGACTCCATTCCCTCCCCCGATGCCTGGGGTGCACTCCGGGAACGCGGGCGAGCCCTCGCCGGGACACCGGTCGCTGCTCGGGCACAAGATCTGGCTCGGGCTCGTGCCGTTGGGGAACCCGCAGTACCTCAGAGGCTCTGGGGCTGCTGTGTCCGGCTCCCCCGAGGGAGCAACACTGGCCATCTGCGCCGCGCGCCTGCTTCCGACTGCCAATCGCTGCAAAACGGCGGCTGAGGATCCCGCGCAGCACAGCGAGCGCATGGCAGGGCCGCGCGCGCAAGAGTCTGACCAGCCAACCGTCCCGATCTCCTCAAGGCGTCGGAGGTCCGGATCCTGGGGCCCACGGTCGCGTCCCGGCCGTGCGAAGCATGAGGGTGAGCTGCAGGCAGCTGGCCGCCGAAACGAGCAGGGCACGCTGAGCCCGCGGCTGGCCCTGCGCGCAGTCGCTGCCGGGCGCGTGGTCTTCTGCGAAGGCCTCCGGCGGGGCCCGGGACTGGGGCCCCGGGGTGAGGGATCGAGGCGGTGACCGGGCGGGACCGGCAAGGCCTGGCTGCAGGCGGAGAGAGGCAGGAGCGAGGAGGGAGATGGGGAGGGCCTGCTGGATCCCGCTGCCGAGCGCCTGCCCGCCGGAGGCGAGTGCAGAGCTGGAGGCGGGGATGGCCTCCCGTCCCGGGGAAAGGGCCAGGGGCGGCAGCGGCGCAGCCGTGGGCCTTGCCGGTCACGCCCGCTCCCGCCCCCACGGAGGCTCCACCGCAGCACGAGGAGCCCGCCCTGCCCCCAAACACCCCCCGCAGGCGCGGCGCCTCCACCGCCTGGTCGTCCGCGCCGGCAGGAGGCTCCTGGCCGGGCGGCACCGAGTCGTAGCAGTCCCCCGTCTGCGGGCACTTGCACGTCTTCCTCTGCTTCCCCCCGTCCATCTCCTGCTCGCAGGCGCAGGCGTCCGACGCGCCGGGCGAGCACCTCGGAAAGGAGGGCGCGCCCTCGCCGGGACACCTGTTGGTGCTCGGGCACAGGATCTGGCTCACGCTCGTGTGGTTGGGGAAGCCGCAGAACCTCGGTGGGCGGCGCCGCCGCGTGGCAAGGGGAGCAGGCGGGCGGGGGGGGGGCGGCCTTCAGGAAGAAGGCAGGAGGCTGCCTGAGAGCAAGGGGTCGCCCCCCCTCTGGCAGGAGAGGCTCCTCAGCAGGCTCCGAGGGGCTCCAGGCGCCCAAGTGCCATGACTGCTGCATCGCGATGATCATGGGGCCCTGACTGCAGACACGTCCACCCCCACTGCCCACCCCGCACCTCGCCCCCCCCCAACAGAAAAGCTGCAATGCTGCCTACGAACGGGCCCGGGCAGCACCCCGTGGTGGCAGCCCTGTGGGAGGCCAAAATGCCATGCCCGTGACATCGGGTGTGAGTAGGAGTAGATCTCCGGGTGGGTAGAAGCGAGCCTGCGTATCAGGGTGTGAGCCTGAGTATGAGTGAGTCTGTAATTACGCGAGTGGTCCGAGTATGATTGAGTCTGACAATGCCGGGAGCCCGAGAGTGAGTGGGTCTGGGTGAGTCCGAGTGTGAGAGGGTCCGCACGAGCCTCAGCATGAGTGAGCCCGTGTGCAGGTGGGTCTGAGCACGAGAGGTCTGAGCGGGAGTGAGCCTGAGTAGCGGGAGGAGGACATGGAGGGAGCAGGCGGGAAGAAGGGCGGAGGGCGGGAGGCGGAGGCGTCCGACTGACAGCAAGAACCCCAAATTGAGATGGGAGGGACCGATCGGACCCAGCGCCGCGGCGGCGGAGCAGGGCGCGCTGAGCCCGGGGCTGGTTCGTTGCGCAGTGGTGGCCCGGGCTGAGGTCCTCCGTGCGGGAGGCGGCGGGGCGGAGCGCGTGGGGTGGGCGCCGAGGAGGCCGGGAGGGCGTGGCGGGCGCGAGGAGGCCCGGTCGTGCGGGCGCGGGGATCCCTCCTGCACCACCCCCGTCGAGGCCCCTACCCCAGTCGCAGCTGCCGACGAGGCTGGGGGGCGGTCCCCCCGCCCTCCTGGAGTCCCCCGCCCCCGCCCGGTAATTCCCCCCCCCTCTCTCCATCCCCGCGTCCTCGTCCGTGCCCGCGTCCGAGGAGTTGCCCTCGGCCGAAGAGACGGTGGTGGTCGAAGAGGCCATGGCAGTCGAGGAGTTGCCGTCGGAGGAAGAGACGCTAGTGGCCGACGAGCCACCCGCGGCCGAATCGGGCGGCAGTGCGTCGTAGCAGTCCCCGGTCTGCGGGCACTGGCACGTCAGCGCCTGCTGGTCGCCGTTCATCTCCTGCTCGCACGCGCAGGCGTTCGGCATGCCTCAGGGAGGGGGAGCGTGCACGCCGCCACCAGGCCTCCAGAGGCCCACGTTGTAGCCGGATCTTGGCGCATTCTGCATGATTGCTTCGGCTCCTGCCCAGCCGGGCCCAGAGGCCTTCATGCGCCAAGCTCTGGCCGAAGGAGGGCATGTGGAGGCCTGGCCTGGCGCGTGACTACCTCCAACCCTTGGGCGACAGGTGGTCTAAGGAGGGTCCCTTTCCTCTTCCACAACCCCTCTTCCCTTCGGGAAGGGGAACCCTCCACCTCCCCTCCCTGAAGTTTTTTGGGAGGTCTCGCGAGGTGTCGGAGGCTCCTTTTTCGGAAAGTGGGAGGGCCAATTTCTGACACCCCTCACGAGGATCGTGGCCCCCGAGAGGGGGACGCACATCGAGGACCCCCTCTCTGTTGACCAGCCGCCTCCAAGATGGCCCCTAGAGGCACTCCAGGGCTCCCAAGAGACCCCCAAGAGGGTCCCACGAACGCCCCAAGAGGCCCCAAGAGGGCTCCAGGAGGCCCCCGAGAGGCACCCAAGAGGCCCCCGAGTGGCCCCCAAGCGGCCTCAGAGAGCCCAAGATGGCATCCAAGATGGCACAAGATAGTCCAAGCTGGCTCAAGATGGCTCCCAAGATGCCCCAAGAGGCCCCAAGGCCGCTCCAAGACGGCTCGAGCTGCACGGAGCCTCCCCAGGAGGCCTCCTCCTCCTCCTGCTCCTCCTCCTCCTCCTTATCCTCCTCCTCCTCCTCCTCCTCCTCCTCCTCCTCCTCCTCCTCCTCCTCCTCCTCCTCCTCCTCCATATCATCCTCCCCCTCCCCCTCGTCCTCGTCCTCGTCCTCCTTCTCCTCTCCTCCCTCCTCCTCCTCCTCCTACTCCTCCTCCTCCTCCTCCTTCTCCTCCTCCTCCTCCTCCTCCTCCTCCTCCTCCTCCTTCTCCTCTTCGCCCCCCCCACGCGGGCCCGGAGATGGCCCCAACAAGCCGTCCAGGCTGGCCTTCCTCGCTGTTTGACTATGTGTGTCTCTTCCTCTTTCCCCCCGTCGGCTCTCATGGGCATCGTTTCTGGATGGGCTGGTGGGGAGTGGAGATACTTTTTGATCGCAAGCGCACCTGGAGGCCGGGCGCCGTCCGAAGCAACGCAAGGGAGTGGGGATACTTTTTTTGTTGGTCGCGGCCGCGAGCGGAGAGCGCAGGCGGCGAACAGGGTGTCCGGGCCGACGGGCAAGCCTAATTAGCTACAAGACGCGCCGCTAGCCGTCCGGCCCACTCACAAAGCAGCCGCGGGGCTGTGGGGAAGCTGACGGCAGGGGGCATCCTGGGAAGCTCGGGCACGTGCAGTGGACAAAATGTCGAGAAATTCGATGCCTGCCGTGAGGCATGACCCACACAGCGACATGACGTGTACCGGGGCAAACGTAAGGGAGTGGGGATACGCGAAGCGTCAAGAAGTACCTCCATTCCCTCCCCCGATGCCTGGGGTGCACTCCGGGAACGCGGGCGAGCCCTCGCCGGGACACCGGCCGCTGCTCGGGCACAAGATCTGGCTCGGGCTCGTGCCGTTGGGGAACCCGCAGTACCTCAGAGGCTCGAGGGCTGCTGTGTCCGGCTCCCCCGAGGGAGCAACACTGGCCATCTGCGCCGCGCGCCTGCTTCCGACTGCCAATCGCTGCAAAACGGCGGCTGAGGATCCCGCGCAGTACAGCGAGCGCATGGCAGGGCCGCGCGCGCAAGAGTCTGACCAGCCAACCGTCCCGATCTCCTCAAGGCGTCGGAGGTCCGGGTCCTGGGGCCCGCGGTCGCGTCCCGGCCGTGCGAAGCATGAGGGTGAGCGGCGGGCAGCTGGCCGCCGAAACGAGCAGGGCACGCTGAGCCCGCGGCTGGCCCTGCGCGCAGTCGCTGCCGGGCGCGTGGTCTTCTGCGAAGGCCTCCGGCGGGGCCCGGGACTGGGGCCCCGGGGGGAGGGATCGAGGCGGTGACCGGGCGGGACCGGCAAGGCCTGGCTGCAGGCGGAGAGAGGCAGGAGCGAGGAGGGAGATGGGGAGGGCCTGCTGGATCCCGCTGCCGAGCGCCTGCCCGCCGGAGGCGAGTGCAGAGCTGGAGGCGGGGATGGCCTCCCGTCCCGGGGAAAGGGCCAGGGGCGGCAGCGGCGCAGCCGTGGGCCTTGCCGGTCACGCCCGCTCCCGCCCCCACGGAGGCTCCACCGCAGCACGAGGAGCCCGCCCTGCCCCCAAACACCCCCCGCAGGCGCGGCGCCTCCACCGCCTGGTCGTCCGCGCCGGCAGGAGGCTCCTGGCCGGGCGGCACCGAGTCGTAGCAGTCCCCCGTCTGCGGGCACTTGCACGTCTTCCTCTGCTTCCCCCCGTCCATCTCCTGCTCGCAGGCGCAGGCGTCCGACGCGCCGGGCGAGCACCTCGGAAAGGAGGGCGCGCCCTCGCCGGGACACCTGTTGGTGCTCGGGCACAGGATCTGGCTCACGCTCGTGTGGTTGGGGAAGCCGCAGAACCTCGGTGGGCGGCGCCGGCGCTTGGCAAGCGGAGCAGGCGGGCGGCGGGGGGGGGGGGGCGGCCTTCAGGAAGAAGGCAGGAGGCTGCCTGAGAGCAAGGGGTCGCCCCCCCTCTGGCAGGAGAGGCTCCTCAGCAGGCTCCGAGGGGCTCCAGGCGCCCAAGTGCCATGACTGCTGCATCGCGATGATCATGGGGCCCTGACTGCAGACACGTCCACCCCCACTGCCCACCCCGCACCTCGCCCCCCCCCAACAGAAAAGCTGCAATGCTGCCTACGAACGGGCCCGGGCAGCACCCCGTGGTGGCAGCCCTGTGGGAGGCCAAAATGCCATGCCCGTGACATCGGGTGTGAGTAGGAGTAGATCTCCGGGTGGGTAGAAGCGAGCCTGCGTATCAGGGTGTGAGCCTGAGTAGTGAGTCTGTAATTACGCGAGTGGTCCGAGTATGATTGAGTCTGACAATGCCGGGAGCCCGAGAGTGAGTGGGTCTGGGTGAGTCCGAGTGTGAGAGGGTCCGCACGAGTCTCAGCATGAGTGAGCCCGTGTGCAGGTGGGTCTGAGCACGAGAGGTCTGAGCGGGAGTGAGCCTGAGTAGCGGGAGGAGGACATGGAGGGAGCAGGCGGGAAGAAGGGCGGAGGGCGGGAGGCGGAGGCGTCCGACTGACAACAAGAACCCCAAATTGAGATGGGAGGGACCGATCGGACCCAGCGCCGCGGCGGCGGAGCAGGGCGCGCTGAGCCTGGGGCTGATTCGTTGCGCAGTGGTGGCCCGGGCTGAGGTCCTCCGTGCGGGAGGCGGCGGGGCGGAGCGCGTGGGGTGGGCGCCGAGGAGGCCGGGAGGGCGTGGCGGGCGCGAGGAGGCCCGGTCGTGCGGGTGCGGGGATCCCTCCCGCTGCACCACCCCCGTCGAGGCCCCTACCCCAGTCGCAGCTGCTGACGAGGCTGGGGGGCGGTCCCCCCCGCCCTCCTGGAGTCCTCTGCGATCCGCGTTACGGAGCCCGCCCCACGCGTGCTGGGAGCCCAGGGGCAGGGGGCCTTCCGCCCCCGCCCGGAAATTCCCCCCTCCCTCCATCCCCGCGTCCTCGTCCATGCCCGCGTCCGAGGAGTTGCCCTCGGCCGAAGAGACGGTGGTGGTCGAAGAGGCCATGGCGGTCGAGGAGTTGCCGTCGGAGGAAGAGACGCTAGTGGCCGACGAGCCACCCGCGGCCGAATCGGGCGGCAGTGCGTCGTAGCAGTCCCCGGTCTGCGGGCACTCGCACGTCAGCGCCTGCTCGTCGCCGTTCATCTCCTGCTCGCACGCGCAGGCGTTCGGCATGCCTCAGGGAGGGGGAGCGTGCACGCCGCCACCAGGCCTCCAGAGGCCCACGTTGTAGCTGGATCTTGGCGCATTCTGCATGATTGCTTCGGCTCCTGCCCAGCCGGGCCCAGAGGCCTTCATGCGCCAAGCTCTGGCCGAAGGAGGGCATGTGGAGGCCTGGCCTGGCCTGGCGCGTGACTACCTCCAGCCCTTGGGCGACAGGTGGTCTAAGGAGGGTCCCTTTCCTCTTCCACAACCCCTCTTCCCTTCGGGAAGGGGAACCCTCCACCTCCCCTCCCTGAGGTTTTTTGGGAGGTCTCGCGAGGTGTCGGAGGCTCCTTTTTCGGAAAGTGGGAGGGCCAATTTCTGACACCCCTCACGAGGATCGTGGCCCCCGAGAGGGGGACGCACATCGAGGACCCCCTCTCTGTTGACCAGCCGCCTCCAAGATGGCCCCTAGAGGCACTCCAGGGCTCCCAAGAGACCCCCAAGAGGGTCCCACGAACGCCCCAAGAGGCCCCAAGAGGGCTCCAGGAGGCCCCCGAGAGGCACCCAAGAGGCCCCCGAGTGGCCCCCAAGCGGCCTCAGAGAGCCCAAGATGGCATCCAAGATGGCACAAGATAGTCCAAGCTGGCTCAAGATGGCTCCCAAGATGCCCCAAGAGGCCCCAAGGCCGCTCCAAGACGGCTCGAGCTGCACGGAGCCTCCCCAGGAGGCCTCCTCCTCCTCCTGCTCCTCCTCCTCCTCCTTATCCTCCTCCTCCTCCTCCTCCTCCTCCTCCTCCTCCTCCTCCTCCTCCTCCTCCTCCTCCTCCTCCTCATCCTCCCCCTCGTCCTCGTCCTCCTCCTTCTCCTCCTCCCTCCTCCTCCTCCTCCTCCTCCTACTCCTCCTCTCCTCCTCCTCTCCTCCTCCTCCTCCTCCTCCTCCTCCTCCTCCTCCTCCTCCTCCTCCTCCTCCTCCTCCTCCTCCTCCTCCTCCTCCTCCTCCTCCTCCTCCTCCTCCTCCTCCTCCTCCTCCTCCTCCTCCTTCTCCTCTTCGCCCCCCCCACGCGGGCCCGGAGATGGCCCCAACAAGCCGTCCAGGCTGGCCTTCCTCGCTGTTTGACTATGTGTGTCTCTTCCTCTTTCCCCCCGTCAGCTCTCATGGGCATCGTTTCTGGATGGGCTGGTGGGGAGTGGAGATATTTTTTGATCGCAAGCGCACCTGGAGGCCGGGCGCCGTCCGAAGCAACGCAAGGGAGTGGGGATACTTTTTTTGTTGGTCGCGGCCGCGAGCGGAGAACGCAGGCGGCGAACAGGGTGTCCGGGCCGACGGGCAAGCCTAATTAGCTACAAGACGCGCCGCTAGCCGTCCGGCCCACTCACAAAGCAGCCGCGGGGCTGTGGGGAAGCTGACGGCAGGGGGCATCCTGGGAAGCTCGGGCACGTGCAGTGGACAAAATGTCGAGAAATTCGATGCCTGCCGTGAGGCATGACCCACACAGCGACATGACGTGTACCGGGGCAAACGTAAGGGAGTGGGGATACGCGAAGCGTCAAGAAGTACCTCCATTCCCTCCCCCGATGCCTGGGGTGCACTCCGGGAACGCGGGCGAGCCCTCGCCGGGACACCGGCCGCTGCTCGGGCACAAGATCTGGCTCGGGCTCGTGCCGTTGGGGAACCCGCAGTACCTCAGAGGCTCGAGGGCTGCTGTGTCCGGCTCCCCCGAGGGAGCAACACTGGCCATCTGCGCCGCGCGCCTGCTTCCGACTGCCAATCGCTGCAAAACGGCGGCTGAGGATCCCGCGCAGTACAGCGAGCGCATGGCAGGGCCGCGCGCGCAAGAGTCTGACCAGCCAACCGTCCCGATCTCCTCAAGGCGTCGGAGGTCCGGGTCCTGGGGCCCGCGGTCGCGTCCCGGCCGTGCGAAGCATGAGGGTGAGCGGCGGGCAGCTGGCCGCCGAAACGAGCAGGGCACGCTGAGCCCGCGGCTGGCCCTGCGCGCAGTCGCTGCCGGGCGCGTGGTCTTCTGCGAAGGCCTCCGGCGGGGCCCGGGACTGGGGCCCCGGGGGGAGGGATCGAGGCGGTGACTGGGCGGGACCGGCAAGGCCTGGCTGCAGGCGGAGAGAGGCAGGAGCGAGGAGGGAGATGGGGAGGGCCTGCTGGATCCCGCTGCCGAGCGCCTGCCCGCCGGAGGCGAGTGCAGAGCTGGAGGCGGGGATGGCCTCCCGTCCCGGGGAAAGGGCCAGGGGCGGCAGCGGCGCAGCCGTGGGCCTTGCCGGTCACGCCCGCTCCCGCCCCCACGGAGGCTCCACCGCAGCACGAGGAGCCCGCCCTGCCCCCAAACACCCCCCGCAGGCGCGGCGCCTCCACCGCCTGGTCGTCCGCGCCGGCAGGAGGCTCCTGGCCGGGCGGCACCGAGTCGTAGCAGTCCCCCGTCTGCGGGCACTTGCACGTCTTCCTCTGCTTCCCCCCGTCCATCTCCTGCTCGCAGGCGCAGGCGTCCGACGCGCCGGGCGAGCACCTCGGAAAGGAGGGCGCGCCCTCGCCGGGACACCTGTTGGTGCTCGGGCACAGGATCTGGCTCACGCTCGTGTGGTTGGGGAACGCCGCAGAACCTGCGGTGGGCGGCGTCGTGGCAAGGGGAGGCGCAGGCGTCCGACGCGCCGGGCGAGCACCTCGGAAAGGAGGGCGCGCCCTCGCCGGGACACCTGTTGGTGCTCGGGCACAGGATCTGGCTCACGCTCGTGTGGTTGGGGAAGCCGCAGAACCTCGGTGGGCGGCGCCGCCGCGTGGCAAGGGGAGAGCGGGCGCCCTTCAGGAAGAGGCTGCCTGATCGGGCTGCTGCTCCATCGCGATGATCATGGGGCCCTGACTGCAGACACGTCCACCCCCACTGCCCACCCCGCACCTCGCCCCCCCCCAACAGAAAAGCTGCAATGCTGCCTACGAACGGGCCCGGGCAGCACCCCGTGGTGGCAGCCCTGTGGGAGGCCAAAATGCCATGCCCGTGACATCGGGTGTGAGTAGGAGTAGATCTCCGGGTGGGTAGAAGCGAGCCTGCGTATCAGGGTGTGAGCCTGAGTGTGAGTGAGTCTGTAATTACGCGAGTGGTCCGAGTATGATTGAGTCTGACAATGCCGGGAGCCCGAGAGTGAGTGGGTCTGGGTGAGTCCGAGTGTGAGAGGGTCCGCACGAGTCTCAGCATGAGTGAGCCCGTGTGCAGGTGGGTCTGAGCACGAGAGGTCTGAGCGGGAGTGAGCCTGAGTAGCGGGAGGAGGACATGGAGGGAGCAGGCGGGAAGAAGGGCGGAGGGCGGGAGGCGGAAGCGTCCGACTGACAACAAGAACCCCAAATTGAGATGGGGAGGGCCGATCTGACCCAGCGCCGCGGCGGCGGAGCAGGGCGCGCTGAGCCCGGGGCTGATTCGTTGCGCAGTGGTGGCCCGGGCTGAGGTCCTCCGTGCGGGAGGCGGCGGGGCGGAGCGCGTGGGGTGGGCGCCGAGGAGGCCGGGAGGGCGTGGCGGGCGCGAGGAGGCCCGGTCGTGCGGGCCGCAGAGAGGGGGCCGAGGAGGGCCGATGCTCCCGCGCGGCAGGCCCTTGCTTCACCGCTGCCGCACTGCCCACCGCTGCCACATCCTTTTCAAAGAACCGCCGTCGCTGCCCCCCGCCCCGGTGCCAACGAGACTGGTGTGGCGATCCCCCCGCCCTCTGGGTCCCCCCGCCCTCCTGGGAATGCAAAGGGATCATGGGCCGTCTTCCCCACACCGACTCGAAAATCTCACCCCCACCCTCCATCTCCGCGTCCTCGTTCGGGCCCGCGTCCGAGGAGTTGCCCGCGGCCGAGGACACTGTGGTGGTCGAAGTGGCGGCGGCAGTCGAAGAACTGCCCTGGGGGGAGAGAGGGACGAGAAAAGCAGGGAGGGAGGCAGGGAGTGAGGCAGGGAGGGGAGCAGGGGGATGGAAGAAAGAGAGAGGGGAGAAAGAGGGAGGAATGGAGGCACACGTACGAGCGGATAAGCAACTCGGGTAGGCTCGCCCGAAGGCGCTTCCAAGTGCATCCACAGCTGAGGCCAAAGTCAAAGCTGAGATGCACAGAAAAAGAAAGGGCCCACTGTGGAGGCGAGGGAAAAGAAAGGGGGAGGAGGAGAAGGAGGAGGAGGAGGACGACGAGGAAGAGGAGGAGGAGGAGGAGGAGGATTTCGCCATAGCCGGCCACGCTAAGATTCGGGAGCCCGAGGACATCGCCAACACTTACAACAAGAATGCGAAGGACACCATTAGAGAATCAAAAAGGACACCCCAATTGAGAACAGAATCGCCAGGACCGAGCTGAAGACGAGCTTCCACTTAGGTACTGTTACACGCAGGATGGAAAAGAGTTTCATCATGAGACAACGTGGAATACGATGGGAGCCAAAGCATTATCCATTACCCGCAGATGACCGCCCCAACTAGGACACGGCCGCCGCCGCCGCCACCGACACCTCCCACCCCTCCGAGGCGGCTGTCACCATCACCTCAGGCTCGGTCCTTTGCGGTCGGCATCACTTCCCTCGATGCCGTCATCACAAAGTACCGCGACGACGTCGACTTCAAAAACAGCGTGGACCGATTAAAACGAGCAATTGGCGACATGACCGACACCGATGTAAGCGACATGAAGCGTTCCGACACCGACACCGGCCGCCTCACGCGGCTGCTACTTACGAATCAATACGACAACCTCGGCACCCAGCAACGGATAACCTCATGACTCATGATCATCGCAAGGATCTGGGCAGCAGAACGCACGTTGTCACGACGGACCCAAACATCAGACCACCAAATGCGACTGCGACGGCACGACTGCCTGACCTGATGGCCGCCCCGATCCAAGGGGCCCCCGCCTCCTCCGGCCAGGAGGGGTCGGCCCCCAGCAGCAACCTACGAGCCCAGCCTAAACACTACGATGCACGAAAGGAGTCTATGACAACGACGCCAGCTCCAGCAAACACTATACCGTACCTCCCGCGACGCTAGAAAGCTCCACTTAAGCGAACGACCGCCACCCACCACTTCTCAACCCCCGCGAGCACACACACACACACACACAGGCAGATAAGCTGGCGGAATCAGAGAAGCGATCGAATTCGACGGGCCCCCTGCGTGCCCTGGCCGTGTTAACCTTCGAAGGTGAATCACGAAAGGAAGGATGATGGAGGAAGGCGGGGTGCATACATGAATGCATGCTAGAAGCGGCGCTAGAAGCGGCCTCAGGCATTTCAACAGCCGATGATGTTTCGATGAGGCTTCGATGATGCTTCGACGAAGGCGATTACCTTACCCCGATTGGGACACCTGAACATTACCCGGGCGAAGGACCCAACCATATGTAGTTGTGAGTACTCTCGTTGCGGGTATCGCCTTCGGGGGATCTCCCCATGGGGCCAAGAAGCACGCGAAGGGTTTCCCGATGTGGGGCGGGGCCGCCATGAGGGCGCTGCCACTGGGGCTTTACGCGGAACACACTATGGAGCCGCGAAACGCGAGAGAGGTGTGCCGCAATGGGGTGGGGCCGCCACTGTGACCTTCGGCGGAGCTCCCTATGGGACCACGACACGCTGCACTGGCTGGGGGAACCGCATGCGCACACCTCCATTGGGGCCTTCGGTGGAGCCCTCTATGGGACCACGATACATTGTACTGGGCGGCGGAACCGCATGCGAGCGCAGCCACTGGGGCCTTCGGTGGAGCTCCCTATGGGACCACGAAACGCTGTACTGGGTGGGGAAGCCGTATAATGACGAGGGCAGAGGCAAGGAAGGGAGCTCTCTACGGGGCCACGAAACTGGAGCCTTCGGTGGAGCCCCCTGTGGAGCCATGAAACGCTGTACAGCGCGGGGGTCTCGCATGCGAGAGCAGCCACCGGGGCCTCCGATGGAGCCCCCAATGAGGCCACGAAACGCTGTACAGCGCCGGGGTCCCGCATGCAAGCGCAGCCACTGGGGCCTTCGGTGGAGCTCCCTATGGGGCCACGAAACATGAGAGGGGTGTGCCAAAGTGAAGGATGAGGGGGAGGAGGAAGGAGAAGAGAGTAATGCGCTCTGCGGGCTACGAAGGCCTCGATTCGGCACATCCCTCGCGCATGTCCTGCACCCCCAGGGCTCGGAGACACGTAAAACAAGATGGAGTCGCTGATCAAGATCCCCAGGAGCCTCTCTTCGGCACACCCCTCTCACACTTTACACATCACGGGTGCTCAGCTGGCCTCAAAGACGGCTCCTTGGGGACTACATTCAGCACACCCCCTGCGTCTCTCGTCCCCCTGGACCTCCAGGGGGATCTGTGGCCCTCACGACGGCTGCAGGAAGCCTCAAATTGGGACCCCTCAGGCACATCGTGCTGCATGGACACCCGTGGGTCCTCAGCCGACGCCAAGATGGCCCTGACAAAAACATGATACGAGTGGCACCGACCCTCGTCGAAGCCATACCCCGAACACCCACTGATTGCAACATCTGAGTGCGAATTTCCCCTGTGGGCTCGCCGTGGCTACCGCTCTGCGGGCTGAATACGGCGGGCCCCCTGCGGGCCCGGGCCGTGTTCTGTTCCTAGGAGTTCGGCGCAACAAAAGCAAGACTGACAGGCTAGACAGACGGGAAGGCTTGCGATAGCCTAGGCAGGTTAATTTGGAGCCTTCAGAAGGCTCTTATGGAGGGCGCAGACCGCGAGTCACAGTGGCACCCCCCCGCTCTTGGAGGCCCCTTGGCGGCCCCACATGGCTGAAGATGACTCAAAGACAGCTCAAGATGGGCCCACACCAGATGGCCCAAGACGGCTCCAAGATGAGCCAAGATGGGTCCAAGAGGCCCCCAAGACGCCCCAAGAGGGCCCCGAGAGGACACCCAAAAGGATCCCCAGAGGAAAAAACACTGATGCTCCTGAAGTGTTTCAAAGATTTCAGCGTTCTCGCCGCTTGGAGCTTCCGACGCTCAAGGACTGCCCCAGAGGCCCCCCAAGATCGTCCCAAGATGCCCCAAGAGGACCCAAGCCAGGAAGCCTTCCAGGAGACCCCAAAGAGGCCTTCCATGAAGCCCCCAAGACGCCCCAGCGTCGTCAAGGCATGATTCTTTGGCGTACGGATTTTCCCCTCTGGAGGGCCCGCCGTGACTCCCGCTCTCCAGACTCAATAGCACCTCCCTGTCGCACTCCCAGACGTGTCCGTAGACAGGCAAGGCGTTTCGCTTGAGATTCTTTGCAACTGCGAGAAGCTAAACAACTGAAACAGTTACAGGTATGGAGGGCCGGTTTTCTTAATGCGGCTCTCGCCTTACCACCAAACACATTCCAACAAGAATGGAGAGTCGATCCTTTTCAATATGTGAATCTCGCCTTAGCGCTGCACGCATTCGTTCTCAGTGTCCACTGCACACTCGTCTTGAAAAGGTTGCAGCAGCTACACAGAACTGGCGCTCGTCAAGGTACTTCTACTAACATATTACAATACATGCAAACTTGCGCAACAAGTTCAATGACTGAAGCTGGCTCGATTTAAAAATGAGCTCCCGTTGAAAAACTTCTTCGACGAATATCGCCGCAAGTGCAAATTTGGCATCACCTACACAAACGGAGGCTGGCTCCTTTTCAAAAGTGGGCTCTCGCCTGGGACTTCCTGGACCTGAATGCTAACGGCCAAAATCTTCAACATATGCAGCAGCTGTGGGTTCGTTTTCAAAATGGCAATCTCGCATGAGGCTTTCCCAAACTGAGCGACCAGGACTGCAAATTTGCCTGACACTTTCACGGATGGGGGGCGGTACCCTTTCAAGACGAGGCTCTCGCTGGACACCTCGCTGAACTCTATGATCACACCTTGTCGTAATCCCTCTGATTCGCGAGATGGACGCAAGACAGTTCCTTTTCAAAACGGGCTCTCGCCTGAACGGCAGGCCATTTGAGCGATCGTCTTTCAAAGGGGCTTCTTGTCGTGGAAAGGAAGGCTCGTAGGTGTGGGGGGCTTATGAAGCGGAAACGGGGGACGGGGAGGTGTGCTGCGCCATCGCTGATACATGTCGAGTTCACTCTGGCCTCCCTGCCCCTCCGCCTCCACCACACCGATCCAGCTGCGCCTGCGGGCGCAGAGAGCGCAGCCTTCGGCCCCATATCGCGCCGCAGGCAGCAAGGAGGCCGCTCCTGACCCGGAGGCAGAGGCCGACCGACTGACCGCGGGCAAGTCCGAGGCGTAGCGCAAAATGCTCGAAGAATAGCGCGTGACCACCGGCAAGGATCTGGGTCAGACGAAGAGGGGGCGATAGCAAAAGGCAAATTCGTGAATCAGATCACGTAGCTGGTTATCCCGGCGCCTCCTGGCGCCAGCGGCGCCAACGTATCGAGAAAAGCGCCTGGCGGCGGGGCCGAACCTGGCTGCATGGCAGATTCCGTACCCCCCCCCATTCCCTATCCCGCCCATTCGTCCCACCCGAGTATGGGCAAGGGCAAGGGTGGCAAGGTCGTGTTCGGCAAGGGCACCAGTGCTGGCGAGTCCAAGGCTCTGCTGCAGGAGCTGAGGGCCTCAGTCGAGAGGCCTGCGAACCTGGCTAGGACCAGGCGTCGGGGAAGTGCAGCACTTGTTGTTTCTTCGTCTTCTTCTTGATATGATTACTGATCTGGCTAATGTTACGATTTTTGGATGTGACCTGTCTTGGGTATGAATCGTGAAAATATCACTTGATGAGCGGCAAACCTTACCAGGGCATCGCTGAGTGTCATCTCGCTGACTCCAATTGGCAGTCTTGGGGTGAGGAAGCCAGCGAAACAGGCTGCAGAGTGTTAAGGCAGACACGCACGATGTAAGCGGAACCGTCTGTCCGCAGTACAAGCAGCTCGCTCCAACGAGGGGGGGAGTGGCTCTTCGCCCCAAGAAACACTTTCAGGCTCAGTCGGAGTTTACACATACTGACGCAAGGCCCCAGGGCACGCGTTGCTGCACATGCACAGCATCACCATCGTGG